TTGAAGAATCACAACTGCAAGGAAGAAAAAGCAAATATGCAACTTTCCTCTTTCCAACAAGACTTGGCACTTCTCATACTCCAGTCAAGGGAAAAAATCACTTTGCACTCTAAAATAAGCCAAAAATAACATGACCATCCTGTCTAAAAGTTGGTCTCCAAAATAATAAAACCTTGAACATGTCCAATAAGCCTGGACTCCCTAAGGAGAAAAAAAAAATTTCCCCAACTGCTTGCTATGGGAAGTTGGAAGATAAACCATGACTTTGGGGAATATGATAATCGCGTGAGAAAGTTGTTTTCGACCATCAAGAACAGATTAACGTCCACTTAGGAACCCTGGTCATTTTATGGGGGCTTTTCTTTCAAGTATTTATTGTGTTTTCACCTGATGAGCCAGCCTTCTGAAGCTGGACTTCTTTGCACTCTAAATGCTCCTACCACCAGCAAGGACACTGCCACTCTCGACTATTTCAGCTGAAGCATGTATGACCCGTGCTCTGAACTGATACAACTTGTGGGACCTGATCAATAATTTTATGTTTCTCTTCCAACGCCCCTTAAAACGCATTCTTGGATTCGACCTCCATGCCCTCAGATGAACACGTGAGCAGGTCCCATGATTTTTCTGCTCAAGCAGCTACTTCAAAGTCGAAAAAGGATGAACACTTGCAGTCTGGAAATTAAAGACTCCAACCCCATCATAACACTAAATCTCCTGCCCAGTGCCAGCCAGGTCCTGCTGCAAACCAGTCTCCTGCTGCACACAGGTCTCCTGTAGGGAGTGGGGGACAGCTGACCTCTTTTCTCCTTTTCCACCTCATGCCCAACTGCGGAACAGTTTCTCATCCCCCTAAGATCAAAGCAACAGGACAAGGCTATAGTAACTGTCTTCACACTGTTTATGAGTGCTTTAGTGATATTCATTTTCCTTCGACTGACTGCTCACTCCTCCCTTAGCCTTTTAGATTCTGGAAACTCTCACTGCTGGGGTACCCTCACTGTTGGGCTGAATTTAGAGTGTCCCAGGCCAGGGCTCACTCCCACATGCCCCCACCTGGTCCTCAGCACACCCTCAGGCATCCTTTGTCCTGACAAATGCTGGGAAAGCAGGCGACCCTGCTGCCCAGGCCACCACATGAGCCTGCCATGCAGGGAACACATTCACAGCTCAACTAGGGGCCCCACAATAGCTCCCTACACTAGGTTTGGGATGAAGGAAGTGATCAAAGATTCCTTTGAAGAAATCTGTTTAACAAAGCCTCCTCTCTCAACCTCACATTCTTAAAATGACCAACGGTTCATGAGTTATGGAAAAGTTCTCAAATATCTACACTGAAATTTCTAGTTGGTGGTCTGGCACTTTCTTTTTGAATTTTACATAATTTGAATAACTGTCTCAGTCAAAACTTTGATTTGGTAACTTATTTTTTAGTACCAAATGCATATAAATGTTTCCGATAGCCTGCTAATTGCCAATTATTTTTTAAAGTTTATTGTTCTCATAGATCTAATAAAATTGAGGAATCTGAGTATTGAAAGGGGCATTCAGTGACATAAAATGCAACAAAATCTTCACCCAGTTTGGAATCCTCTCCCCAGTCCTGACAGAAGGTCGCCAAGCATTGGCTTGGTCTGCTTCTGGGAACAAAGCCACCTCCTCTTCCTCAGGGGTCTGAGGACTAGCCATGTAACCAGACAAACCTCTTTTTTTGACAAGTTAAATGCTCCCTGTTCCTCAGAGGGCCTGGTGTTCAGAGCAGGGCTGAACTCATCATCACCTTCCTCTGGATAGCCTGAAGTTGGTCCCTGTCCTCTATAAAGAGGCCACCCAGAATGGGACATGGAGGAAAGTGGGCCTGGGCTCCTTTGATCCAAATGGCACAGGTTTGGCAGAGATGACACGGGCTAAGGGCTCAGTTCTACCATCCCAGTCCTAGCTCTGCTACTTACTCAATCCCTCTGTGCCTCAGCCTTCTTATCTGATAGATGGTAATGGTGGTAATTGTATTCCCTACTCAAAGGATTGTTACAAGGATTGAGATAAAATTGTGAAACACTCATAACTGTACCTGGCACACAATAAACTCCATGTAAATGTTTTTTAGGAGGCCTGTCCTTATCAGTGCAACCCCCGTTTGCTATGGGGCAGCCGCTTCACACTCTGTGCAGTTTACTCAGAACTTGGTGGGCCACTGAAGCCCCCAGGATTTGTCCTCTCACATGAAGTGCTTCTCACCGGGGCCAATCCTTCCTTTATTTTTTTTTAATTTTTAAAAATTGAATCTATTGGGGTGACACTGGTCAAGAAAACCATATAGGTTTCAAGTGTACAATTCTATAACACATATGTACACTGCATTGCGCACTCACCACCCAAAGTCAAGTCTCCTGCCATCACCATTTATCCCTCCTTTGCCTCTTCCACCTCACCCCACCTTGCTTCCCCTCTGGCAGCCACCACACTGTTGTCTGTGTCTGTGTGCTTTCTTCCTTCTGAGTCCCTTCGCTTTTTTCACCCAGCCTCTCCAACCCCTAACTGGCCTCTGACCTTCAACCCTACTGTAAGCTCAACACTCTAGTATTAGTAAATAAAATAAGTGTTATAGAGTATGCTCCTAGATTTGTAGTTGCTACAACTCTTAGAAATGTCCCCACTATGTCTTTCTCCTGATGAGCAGTACCTAGGAGGTACAGGGAGAAGGACAGAGCCTTCCCGTGTGTCCATACTTTTCCCTGTTGTCCTTAGGGACAGTATAAGACTTTCTCAAATGCCTCTGCAAAGGCAGGACACACCTTAGATTGTCTGTGCTGAGGAGGGTGTCAGTGACTGCATTATTTGTAGGTCCCTTACTTTGGGAACCTCTGTGACAGTATATAACAATATATTGTGACAAAAATAACAGTAGCCACCTCGTTGTGAGGGCCAAAGTGTGTATGTGAAAGAACCCAACTAAGCTGCTGTCACACAGGCACATTAAAAGGTCAAAAATAAAGGAATCAGAGATGAATTCTGACTGGCAAAATACCTCCACATCTGGGGGCCTACCAAAATGGGGAGGAGGAAGTTTCCATTTTCCACAGTGTGCTGATGGCATCATTTGCAAGGTAAAAGGCCACCCCACTATGAGCAGGATGGGGTTAACCTGGAGAGGCCAGTGGGGGCAGCCAGGGATAGCTGTTGTACAGGAGCAGAGGCAGCAGGATAAACAGGGCAAAACACATGCAGGGAGGAGTCATGGGGTGGGACCTCACTCCCTCCACTGCATCCAGGTCCCTTATCACTGGGGCCATTTGTTAATAATAATAATAATAATAGTAGAATTAACACACACATGGTTCACAAAACAATAGATAGCTCTGTCCACTGTGATGTTTCCTCTTGCCTTCTAATGATTTCATGCTTTAGAAAATGCTGGTGCAACTCACTACACTGATGTCATTACCCTAATGAGCCACAACCCACATTGGGAAAACAATGGATACGGTATGCCCCAATCTATAGACCAGTAGGTTGCTGGAAAAGAAACAGAAGTTAGTTTTCAATAAATTGTCTCCTGAAATTCTTTCCCACGTGATCTTGAGCTATCTTCTTGAAGAATTTATTTTGGAATGCTGCCAAGATCTAATGGTTCCTTCTTTTGAAAAATCTCCAGGCTCTGTTCTCATCTCTCAAGCCTGCTCAAAGGTTACTGTGAAAGCTTTCACACTGGAGGATGCCTGTTATTTGTGCTTAAACAATCCAGCCCACTTCAGGGTTTGATGGGGGAGGAGGGAACTTCCCATTTTGAAAAGAAATAGACTGGGAGCTGCTCTTTCTCCTGTTACCCATTAATATCACCTTATCTTCCTTAAACACTGAATGATCTTGCTGATCAGAACAAAAGTCTTTTCCTGTGGGCACCCCAGCTCAGGGTGGCCTCTTGCGTTCTGGAACGTACCCATGCAGGCCAGGCCACCTTCCTTGCTAGATTCTGGGCAATGTGTCAAACGCACACTAGCCTCACAGCCCAGTTTGCAGATCCCACTAGTAACTGGAGGATTCAGCTGGAAAACGTATTTAACACCTCAACCTAGTTTCCTTCACGGGTAAACTGGAAATACTACCACTTACCTTTGGAGGTTTTGTAAGAATTAATTTATTTATGCAGGTTCCCTTCTCTTCCCCTAGTAGCACAGACACTTCCCCCCAAGCTCCCTTTGCTTTCAGAACACCATGCAGTGCTCTGTTGCTGTCAGATTAAATCCAGGGTAATGTCGGAGTCCTGGTGTTATCTTTGCTGCGGAAACCACAAAGCCTCAAAACAACTTTTCAGTGAGGCGACACTGTCTTCCGTGATTAATTACGCGGAAAGGATGGAAGAGGGAGAAAAACGAACCAGATATTTCTCTCTAATCAGTAAAATGATCTGCGGGCAGACTCCCCAGGGCAAACAAAATGAATTCGCTGTCCAACACGGTTCATTCTGAGAACGTTGTCCACCAGAGAGGCGCGCACCCCAGCCAGCAGACAGCGGACAGTGCATTTCGCTGGAACCTGGAGGATCCTGAGCCCGCAGGTCTCTCAGCTGCAGGACACAACGGTGGCAGGCAAGCGAGCAGAGCAGAAAGTTTTCTCGCCTTTGGGAGAAGGTGTGACCCGGCCCTCCTAAGCAGAGAGGAGGAAACCCACCCAACCCCCGAGCTCCGCCACTTCCAGCCTTTTCCAAAGCCCTCCGCGGAGAAACTCACATCCGTGGACCGTGGACTGTGAGAAAGGTTTCAAACTTAGGCCCCACTCTTCCCCTGGCCACCCTCACACCCCAGTTTTCCACTCCACACTCCCATTCTCCTCCCCCCCCGCCCGCCTTAGCCCCCCCCAAAAAACAAACCGAAAATCACCCCCAAACCCAATTGAGCTGACTACCATCCCCAAAGCCTCAAGGACCCTACTCCCGTGGCCCAAGTTGTGCATCCAGGGTGCCCCCTCCCTCCTGCGGTTACCCATTGGGGTGCCCTGACCTGTGGGCGCGCGGCTCGCGGCTCCGAGGTGTGTCGGCGTTGCTGGCGCCGCCGCCTCCTCCTCCTCCGGCTTCCCAAGGCTGGGCAACAGCGCTGCGGTGCACTGCACGGGGCGGGGACTCGGTTCCCGACTGGACTAGAGGCAGTGCAGGGTGCAGCGGGTGCGGTGGCTGCCACCCCAGCCCGAGGAGGACGTGGAGACCAAGAAGAGGTGAGCTTTGGAGAACAGTCTCCTGCTAAAGCTGCCCTCACTCACAATCAGGGTAAGACCCTGCAGGGAAGAAAGGAACAGAAATCGGAGAATATTCTTTACCCACCCGCCATCCCCCACTCTCACCACCCCCTCAACCCAGGCTCTGCAGTGGGTCCTTCGGGCCAACTTTGAGTAACCGAGCTGAGCGAGAGGGAGTGGGACAGCATGAATAAGATTCATGATAAATTCCTAGCACTGGGTTCAAGTTTAGTAAGGGCTGGGCCCTCCAGCATGAGGTACTAAAATTACTACCTCAATTTTACTTCTCCTGCCTGCTGGTACATACAGGTGCCAACCGCAGTCGAATGTCTCCCAGAGCAGATCCCAGAAGAATACGAGCTGGCCAGGAGTAGATTCAAATTAACAGGCATGGCTCACTCCACACTTCCAGTAAATACTTATTGAGTCATATTCCATGACAAACACTGATCTAGATGCTAGGGCGACAGCCTCCTGGAGCTCACACACTAGTTAAGACACAGGAAGTAAACATAACACATTAAGTAAAGTATGTAGTGTGTGAAACAGCTGAAATGCTGTATGGAAAAATAACTCAGGCCGGTGGTAGAGAATGTTGATGGTGTGGGTGCATTACTAAATCGGGTAGCCCGAGTGGCTGCACAGGTCTCTGGTATCCGAGGAGAAAGTATTCCACTCCCTGAGTTGTTCACGATTGTAGGGACCATATCAGGCAGTATGACAACCATTTCCATGAAACCAACCAGGAAACTGTAAACGAATTGCCTAAGGTCACATATTAGTAAGTGGAAGAGCTTGCCTTCAAGCTCAGAAAAAAGCCTGGTGCCCCAGAATCCTAGTTTAATCAGTCCATACCTGCAGCGGCAGAAACACAGTGTAAGCAGTACCCACGCTGGCTGCCAATGGTGTGATTAATTCAATTTCCCGGGGCCAGAAAAAGATTCTTGGAAATGATATCAGATGCACTGATTTTCTAAAAAAAAATTCTTGTGTCATTATTACATGTGAAATGAAGTATTTTGCAAACCATCTGTACATTGTGTACATCTGCCTCAGCCTCATTCACAGGCAGTTTAATTCTAGATGACATAATTTGACCATCTGTGATGAGCCTCATTGGTCCCCGCCCTACTTCTCCACGTTGATTCCAGTTGCACATTCCTGTCCTGCTGATCCATCACCCACAGAGCAGAGCCTGTACATCATGTTGGCAGGCCACGGTGGAGCCGGTCAGAGAGCAGAGCGACAGAATAAGGGAATGCCATTTGTGGTCCAACTGCCTCTAGGCAGATCCAAATACCCTCTAGACTAGAGGGTAGTCTAAACTATCCAACATGGATAGACTATTCACATTGGACCTAGAAGATATTACGCTAAGTTAAATAAATGAGAGTAAGACAAATAGCAAATGATTTCACTTATGTATGGAATCTAAATAAAATAAAATAAAAAAATAAGTGAACAAACAAAACAGAAGCAGACCCATAGATAGAGAGAATAAGTTGATGGTTGCCAAAGGTGAGGGGAATGGGAGATGAGAATTTTATTTTAAAAGGTGAGAGAGAACAGAGCTATAGAAATGCTACTGCTAAAACACCAGTCTCTCCTTGGCTGTCAGAATCAAGTGGCCTCTTTTGGGCAGAGTACCAATGACTCCAGAGGCAGAGAACAGGGCACCTAGTACTATGTGGAAAAGGCCACTAACCATCAGCTTCAGAGGCTGAAACTGCAGCACCCAGTGAGAGCAACCTCATCAACAGGATGGCAGAGTTCCTCTGCTCCCCTAGTCATCTCTGCCTTGCCACAGCTGCACCCATTTCCTTCTTCAAGGGGCATGTCAAAGGCCTCTTCTTCCAGGAAGCCATCCTCACTGCCCCAGCTACAAATGAACTCTTACTCTAAAATCTGATACCCTTCTATGGCACCTGTCATTTTAGAGTTTAACTCTAAAATGGGCTCCTCCTGTTCCTCCAGGGGCCAGCTTTATATTTAATTTCTCCACAGGTCTTAGCATAGTGCCTTGCACCCAGAGAATGTTTAATAAGTATTTTTTGTTAATAAATTAATCTATAAGAGCATAGCTTTATTGTCTGTTAATTTTGTCTTTTCATTCCAAAATTCCTTTCAAGCTCACAAATATTTAGTGGTAGGACTGAGCTATATGTAGACATAGTTGTTATTTGTCAATATAAATTGATAAGAGTTTGGTTTGAGATAAATTTTATTTGCCCTGTACTGAAATGGAAAACTCAGGTTTAAGAGTAATTTCCCCAAGATCACAGTGTTAGTCAATGATAGAGCCAAGATTTGAACCCAGGACTGTTTGACTCCAAACTGGATGCTCTTCACCACGGCCTCCTGCTGCTCCTCACCCCCTTGTTCACTCGTGTGTGCATTCATGTGAGCTTTGAACACATATTTATATTTCCCTAGTCCAGCTCTGCACCCGCCACTGTGAAAATAACCACAAGGAAAACACAGGTCTTGGGGAACTGGAGGACTGTAGCCAAAAGGTACAGACTTGCAGCTACCAGATGAAGAAGTCCTTGGGCTGGAATGCACAACATGACGACTACAGCTAACACTGCTGTGTGACACACAGGAAAGCTGTTAAGAGAGTAAGTCCTGAGTTTTCTTCACAAGAAAATACTTTTTTTCTTGTTTTGTTTTTTCCTTTTATTGTATCTATGTGAGATAATGGATGCTAACTAAACTTCCTGTTAGTCAAGGCTAGGACATTTGGTACCTTTGTTAGAAGGTCTTCCATTAGCCTTCCTGTGGGCTGATATGGCCTTGGTGATAGGGTGTGGGCTGGATTTCATCTCATAATAAATGTAAGTCAAACCATTATATTGTATACTTTAAACTTTCATAGTGATATGTCAATTATATCTCAATAAAACTTGGAAAAACCCACAGTTCTTGCAGTTAAACTTGCTTGCAATCTATAGACACACAGAGGCCCCGAAGTGCAATTTGTTTTAACTCAGGTGATAGGGAAGTAGGAAATACCACCAGGGATTCACTGAGAAGATGGAATGTAGTTTTCATCTTGAAGGCGGTACAGTAATTTGTTGTAATAATAATGAAAAAAAGCAAATGGTAGGTGGAGTAAAGATCATCTGCAAAGACAAGGAGGCCCGAAAGACAATGCACTCAGAGAAGGCTACAGTCACTCAGGACGGATGCGGCACGGTGTGGGCGGTATTGAGATAAGGCTGGAAAGGTAAGGAGAGCCAAATCACAGGGGTCCACAAATGACTTTGATGGAGTCCATTACCCCCTGAAGATGCATACAATCATGAATGTTATGAATGGAAACTTTTCACAGGAGAGGTCTGATAATTTTAGTCAAATTCTGAAAGGTGCTGACTGACCCAGCGCCAGGAGGTGGGGAAGTGATTTTCCTTTGCCACAACCACTGCCTGACCCATGGGCCACTGGATCCCTGCGAGTGGGTGCAAGACGTGACTCTGCCGAATCACCTCCAAAGGTACAGTGGTGCTGCCAGCCCCAGGCAAGGATGGCTGGACCCTAACCTTCACAGCATCTGCACCAGGATTCCTCCTAAAGGCAGAGCCAAAGGATAGCTGGGCAGCCCGCCGGCAGGGTGCCGGCAAATGAGACCATGTTCCAAGGAAGCAGCAGAAGAGGACCACAGCGAGCCAAGACTGTCAGCCCTCAGGGCACGACCCATTGTCCCCCCAGACTTCGCTTACTTTTATGGGCTGAATTGTGTCCCCAGATTCCCACACTGAACTACTAGCACTTAGTACCTCAAAGTGTGACTGTATTTGGAGACAGGGCCTTTAAAGAGGTAATTAAGATCAGATAAGGTCACGTGGTCCTAATCCAATCCGACTGAGGTCCTTAGAAGAGAGGATTAGGATACAGACACCGGGAGCACTTGTGGGGAGAGGGACAACCACTGGTAGAGGCAGCAAGAGGATGGCTATCTGCAAGCCAACCAGCGAAACCCGATCCTTCTCTTATGGTCCTCAGAGGAAACCATCTCTGCCGGGACTTTAACCTCAGACTTCCAGTCTCCAGAACCATGAGAAAATAAATTTTTGTTGTTTAAGACACCCAGTCTACAGTATTTTGTTAGGGCAGTGATAGCAAACTAATAGATTTACAAAACACAAATTCAAAATTCAAAATAATGTTTTGAATTTCAATATGGTGACCACAGAACATTCAATCTCTAAGGAGGACCCTTCTAAGCATGGCGTCCTGTGCTGCTGTGCTGGGTACATGCCCTGAAGCCAGGTCCTAGGAGTATGGGCATGGAAATCTGAAAACAGCCTGGAATTCATTAGTGGAGACGTGTGGCAGCAGCCAAGGGAGTGGGTAAGATCGCTCCACGGGAACACAAGGTGAAAAGATAAGAGGGCTAATATCAGAAGCTTGGAACATGAACCTAAAAGACAAGTAGAGAAATAAAAGGTGAACAAGAGAAGGTGGAACCTGATGAGAAATGCGATGAGAAATGGACAATAGTGTCTAAAGACCAAGGTCATGATTAAGAACTGAAGCCCACTGACTTTTGCATGGAGGTCACATGGTAGGAATGAGGCCACAATGCTGCTGGTTGAGGAGTAAGGTTGTCATTACAGGTCAGTCCTCTGAGGAGGATGGGGAGGGGGAGTGTGACGGGGGTGCTGAGGACTTTGGGGCAAGCCTATGAAAGCCCAGGGGACTGAAATCCAGCTCACACTCTATCAACAAGGCCACATCAGCCCACAGGAAGGCTGATGGAAGGCCTTCTGACAAAGGCACCAAACGCCCTAGCCTGGAATAGCAGAGCAGCAGTAGGGCTTCTGTTGTCTGTATGCTTGTTACCTGAGTCCCCTCACTAGCTCCGCGAGAGCAGTGACTGCCCTGTC